TTTTCCCTTCCCTGCCCCGCCAAGCTGCAGCTCACAGCTGGCCAAACGGAGGAGGCAGGGCTGGGATCAGAGGCTGTCACTGACTCAGGTCTGGCCTGGCTAGAGGTGAGCCCTGCACAACGCTGCTGGAGATGACAGTGATCGTGCTCGATGGGATCTGGCACAGTGCTCTAATGGAAGTGCTTTAACCTAATACCTCATCCATCAAAGTGTAACTTAGAGTGCAATCTCCAATTTTTAAAGTGTTCTAAGAGCCATGAACTTCTGTTTGGTTAAAGCCTTAGAGCACTTCCTGAGCAATTAATGCATAATAGATGTAACATCTGTATCTAGCCACAGTTACAGTATGAGTCAAGCTATAGCATCTCAGAGCTATACATATTATTATTTTAAACATTCTGTGCTACATTTTTATCACTTTGCCACATGCCTTTAAGGGCCTGAAGTCTACAAAGCACTGAACTTTTACACAATTTGAAAGCACACACTGCCTTTTAACCCTGTTCCTCACAACTTCTGGACTGCTAGTGCCTATACAAAAAAACTCTGTTCTTATGTAACCTGACTTCACAAATAGTAGCAAATAGATAGATTTCATTTGTAAATGTTAGCTCATCAGATAGCTTTAATGTAAAGCCTTTACATGTTGATATTCTTCTACCGTAGAACTGTACCAAATATTAAATCAGCACATTTCTATATTTAAAGAAAAACTGTGCCTTATTAATACTTGCATGTGATTCTCTCCTTGTTGAGAATATGGATATGAATGGTTACTACAGCTACATTAAAATTCAGTAGTGGAAGAATTATAATTTAATATCACTTTCTTTTGTTATATTTTATAGATTAAAAATACGTTCAGAGTTCCCCGTTCATGAGTCTAGCCCTTTGCATTCACTTCTGGTCAGTGTAAATGTTTTATATAGTTTACCTGTGTTGTGTAAATTCAGAATATTTTTTTTATGTCTCTTTTGAAATATAATAAAACTTTTATTAGAATTTTTCCCCCTGATATTAATGATCTAAAATTGATTTACTGTAGAGCATTTCTGGGAAACATGCCAAGCTCTATCTACTCTAATATCAAATGGCTATTCCTGATGTTTATAGACATTTATATATGTGTTACACTTGCATATATACTGCATCAACTAAGGACCAGATTCTATACTGAATACTAGGGCTGTGCAAGGCTTCAGTCACTGATTCAATTCAAAGGAGATTCGGTGGCCAAATCTCTGAATCTGAATCGAATCGGGAGACCCAGTAAAAGGTCCGAATCAAATCTGAAGCCTCCAAATCAATTCGGAAAAAATTCGAAGCGATTCGGAGATTCAGATCGGCTGGGGAGAGGCAGGCACAGCTGGGTGGCTGAAGGCTTTCCCGCAGTTCCTCTGACTGTGCCTGCCTCTCCTTGGGCAGGAGGAGCTGCGGGAGAAGCCCCCATGGCTGCCCTGCCCGGCCCTATCCTGCACCCAGCCCCACCACCTGGCACTTTAAAAAAAAAAGGCCCCTCACTCACCAGCTGCAGCAGCGGGGATCAGGGCCTGAGGGCTTATGGCAGAGCCCCCCCCATACATCACAAGGCAGTGAGGGGCAGCAGGGATCACCCCCCTGCCTGGCACCCACATGGCAGCTGCCCACGGGTGCAGTGGGGCTTGGCAGGGTGCTGCACACTGCCTGGGAGCTGGGGCCACTGAGACTGAGTGGTTCTGGGCTCTGGGTGACTGCTGGAGCTGCCCCAGCTCTCAGGCAGCATGTGGTGTCCTGCCGAGCCATGCTGCAACCACAAGATGCAACAGCAGCCTCACAGGTGCCAAGTGGAGGGGGGGTGACCTTTGTTGCTGCCCCGCACTGCCCGGGGGTATTCTGCCATAAGCCCCCAGAGATCCTGATCGCTGCTGCTGCAGCCGGTGTGTGTAGGGGG